TTATACTTTATCGCTAAGTAGTGGGTTAAATTTAGATTTGAATAAATGTTGTTATTCGCCAGAAATGGCAAGAAATATTATTTCCTTTCATGCATTGTACAAACAAGGTTTCACCTTTTCGTTTGATAATGAAGTTGGTTCGATTAATGCTTTCTTTAATAATGTACTTTATTTTAAAGCATTACCTTGTGATGGTGTGTATGAAGCTGTATCTATTGTAGATAACTTAGGAAATAATGTTTTGTGTATTGATTCTACTAATAATAATAACTTGGATAAAGCATCATTATGGCATTGTCGTCTTGGACATATAAGCAAGAAACGCATAGGCCAACTCCAAAAGGATGGAGTCTTGGAGTCGTTTGACCTAAAGTCAAATGATAGTTGCGAATCATGCTTACTTGGAAAAATGACAAAGTCACCCTTCACAGGCTCGTGTGAAAGGGGTGAAGGTTTGTTGGACCTTATACACACGGATGTGTGTGGACCATTCAAACATGCCACAAGGATGCTAATCGTTATTATTTGACTTTTACTGATGATTACAGTAGATATGGATATGTCTACTTAATCAAGCATAAGTCAGAGACTTTCGAGAAGTTTAAGGAATTTAAACAGGAAGTCGAGAATCAATTGGGCAGGAACATTAAGATGCTTCGATCCGATCGAGGTGGTGAGTATCTTAGTTCAGAGTTCCTCGACTATCTAAAGGAATGTGGGATTGTCTCACAATTGACACCTCCCAGGACACCGCAGTTGAATGGTGTGGCTGAGAGGCGTAATCGAACCTTGTTGGACATGGTTCGTTCCATGATGAGTCGAGCTTCGCTACCAATCTCATTCTGGGGGTATGCCTTAGAGACTGCCGCCCATATCCTTAATCTAGTCCCTACAAAGAAAGTTGCCAAAACTCCTCACGAGATGTGGACTGGTAAAGTACCTAAACTAGACCACATCAAGATTTGGGGTGCGAGGCTTTCGTGAGACGCGAGACTCATGATAAGCTCGAACCCCGAAGCGAGAGGTGTATTTTCATCGGCTACCCACAGCAATCCTTTGGTTACCTCTTCTACAGACCTAGTGACAATGTGGTCTTTGTAGCAAGAAGAGGAGTCTTTCGAGAAAGAGAGTTTATAAGCCAAGGAGACAGTGGGAGGCAAGTTGATCTTGAAGAAATTCAAGAGTCAAGTGGTGAAGGAACTTCAAACTCTAGCCCTCAACTTGAGGAGGAAACTCCTGTTGAGCCAATTGACGAATCTGTACCTCTGAGGCGTTCCACGAGAGTTAGGAGTGCACCTGAGCATTACTATGGATTCCATATTACTGCAGAAGGTGAGACACTTATTAGTGATGAGACACTAGTAAGTCAAGATGACCCTAACAGCTACGAGGAAGCCATGGCGGCCCCGAGTCTGCCAAATGGAAAGAGGCTATGGATAGCGAGATACAATCCATGTATGACAATCAAGTTTGGAACTTGGTTGAGAATGTACCAGGTCGAAAGACTGTAGGGTGCAAATGGGTCTTCAAGAAGAAGACCGACATGGATGGTAAAGTACACACTTATAAGGCTAGACTGGTTGCAAAGGGCTTCTCTCAAATTCCTGGAGTGGACTATGATGAGACCTTTTCTCCGGTAGCCAAGATTAAGTCTATTCGGGTTCTGTTAGCCATAGCCGCATTTCATGACTATGAAATTTGGCAAATGGATGTCAAAACCGCTTTCCTTAATGGAAGTTGGCTGAAGATGTTTACATGAGTCAGCCAGAGGGTTTTGTCAGTAACGAGTACCCTAATAGAGTGTGTAAGCTTGAGAAATCCATTTATGGATTAAAGCAAGCACCTCGCAGATGGAATCTTTGCTTTGATGAAAAGGTCAAGGAATTTGGCTTTTCTAGGAGTGAAGATGAATCTTGTGTATATGTCAAGGCTAGTGGGAGTATAGTTAGCTTTTTGGTATTGTATGTGGATGACATACTACTCATAGGAAACGACATTCCAACCCTGCAGGAAGTAAAGTCCTGGCTTGGAAAGTGTTTCGCTATGAAGGACCTTGGTGAAGCTGCCTATATTTTGGGGATAAGGATCTTGAGAGATCGGAGTAAAAGACTAATTGGACTTAGTCAAAGTACCTACTTGGAGAAGGTTCTGAAGAGATTCAGAATGCAAGACTCCAAGAAAGGAGAGTTGCCCATCCAGAGTAGCGCCAAGCTGAGTAAGACACAAAGCCCTAGCACTGAGGCTGAGATAGCAGAAATGAGTCGAATACCTTATGCTTCGGCTGTAGGTTCGATCATGTATGCTATGACGTGTACTCGACCTGATGTAGCCTTTGCCTTGAGCATGGTTAGCAGGTTTCAGGGGAACCCTGGCAAGGCACACTGGATTGCGGTAAAGAATATTCTCAAGTACCTACGAAGGACTAAGGACTGGGTCCTTACCCTCGGTGGGAGTGATGACTTGAGAGTTGTAGGGTATAGTGATGCTAGCTTCCAGACTGATAGGGATAACTTCCGCTCTCAGTCGGGCTGGGTCTTTACCCTAAATGGAGGAGCAATTTCTTGGAAGAGTTCCAAGCAAGAGACAGTGGCAGATTCTACTTGTGAATCAGAGTATATTGCAGCTAGCGAAGCGGCAAAGGAGGCGTTATGGCTGAGGAACTTCATTGGAGACCTTGGAGTTGTACCAGCTATTAAAGAGCCGATGGAAATTTTCTGTGATAGTGAAAGTGTGTTGCCTTAGCCAAGGAACCAAGGGATCACGGGAGATCCAGACACATCGACAGAAAATACCATTTCATCAGACATCGGATCGAAGAAGGACTCCTCGTGGCAAAGAGGGTATCATCAGATGAGAATCCGGCAGATCCCCTCACGAAGGGACTGACTCGGGTTAAGCATCTCCAGCATGCTCGGAGCATAGGGCTGAAGGATGATATTAGATTTAGTAGTTAGATAATCTCGAAATTTGTAAAGTGTAATTGACATTTGATGATGAATAAAAGTGTTTTATTTATGAGTAAAGTGTTGCTATCTCTTGTCGATCGTTTACTATATTTCTTTTGCATGTTTTGACTTCCAGAATAATTTTGTTTGGTATAACATATTATTCAAACCTCCACAGTCGGTCATATGTCGGAAGTAGGTATGAATCAAGACTGTCATGTTTGGTTGTAGAGGTCTGGGACAAGGCTACAACAATCATGAGTGCTCATAAGTTCTGAGCATTGGACTCAACCCACGCTCACTGGAATCACTTCATGGAATTCTATCTCGAGTGATCGTGAGACGGTAATATCATATAAGTCTTTAAACCTAGAGATATGATTTGTTACTTACAAGTTGGTTATGCATTGATTGTACGAAAAACGCATTGGTAACTCGATGTTATAAAATCGTGCTCTTATGTGTAATTCAATGAGTAGTAGAACAAACATATGAGTCGAAGTTTATCTGTTCCTTCTTGGATTAGAAGCTGATATCTGGGCCCCTCGATGATTTTGTTTTGACCTATGTACCGGGCCCGGTCAGAACTAAATTGATGTGTTCAATAAAGTTCTTTGTCAAACAAATCGGAAATCGGGAAACAAATGTTGGACAATAAGTAAGACATTGTTCCATGTATTTGTCCGACTGATATCTAGAACAGAGGATTATATGATCACTTATCTTAAATGGCGTACCATCATCTTCTCAAGTTTCGAGAAACCTTGTAAAGAGCTACGATTGCCGATCGGTTCCTGAAGTCATACTTGCAGTAATAGTTACTAGACTTATCCAAGTGGGAGACTGTTGGATAAGGTGTCTAAGTCCATAACTATTTCTGGTATGTACTTGACCCGACCCGGCATGGTCCATTTGGGTTGCATGGCACCATGCAATTGGATAGACTAAATGAGAGAAATAACGCTTGGAGATTATTAATATATTATAAGTTCTAATATATTAATAATATTATTTGATTAGTTTGATCAAGAATTAATTTAGAATTAATTAAGTGATCAAAAGATAACTAATTAAATATATGGGTTGATTAAGTAAATCATCCATATCTTGTATAGTGGGCTAAAAGGCTCCATGGATCATCAAGTTGGGTTCCACCCATAGGATGCTCCATGGATGCTCCATGGGAGTTACAAACCCATGGGTCATGGAAATGAAGAGTCATGACACATTAGGGTTTAACCCTAGATGTGTCAACACTATATAAGTAATATGATCTCCTCCCAAATCGGTTACACACTAAGAATATAGAGGGCTTGGCCGATTTTGTGAAGTGAGTATTCTCTCATAAGTTCTTCCAAGAGCATTTGGTGTTGTGTGAAGCATTTGAGGCATCACACTTGGGGTGCTAGGCTCACAAGGTTTCAAGGAACACAAGCAACAACAAGGTAAGTTATTCTATCTATACTTTATGTTAAAATTGTTCCCCATGTATGCTAGATAGGAATATAACCTTGGAAATCAACTTTGCATGACAAATTAGACAAACATAGATCCAAGGTTATTAGGGTTGCATGTACACTTAGGAAGTGTTAGAATGCTCAAAACCCATCACTAACAAGTTTGCTTTACGAGATGGTACTCATCTTCATGACAATCATAAAGATTCAGAATAAAGATATGAGCCAAATTGAATGTATGCCAGTAGGAGAATGGAGAAAATTTCAATTAGACAACTGATTCACAATACAAATAAGGAGATGGACATGAAAGGATTACACATGCAAAACACGGCATTATAATAATATTGATTCTACATAGTTAACGATCAAGCACTATATGTCATAATACATATTACCATACACATTAGTTATATAAATACTATCATCCCAAGTATCAGTACAAATACCAAAGCCAAAACAACTATGCACCAAAAATATATAAAGAAAAAGGCAGAAAAGCACCTTGTCTAAGTTCAACAAACCCGTAAACTAACATCCATGATTCAAAAAAATACCCACAACCATACCACTAGCCTCATCCCACACACCATACCTTTCACAACTCGTTGTGCCTACCATGACCACTCGTAGAAGCACCATTACCACCATCACGCTCAACCAACATACGCAACTGATCAACACTTGTCAAAGGAAAAGCAAACTTAGATAAATAGCCATCACAAAACAAAGCTGAAAAGGCTTCTTCCATTTTCTGCATGCATGAAGGGTCATATAATGAAAAATCGGTTTCATGAAGTCCCATCTTAAACTCAATGTTCATCATCTCACAACCTTCTCTCCTTCCAAATTCCACACAAATGGATTGTAGATCACGGTTAGCCTAAAAAAACGATGATTCAGTGACAAGTTTGTCAGCCAACTATGCAACCCCATGCGAAAATACCCAAGACACATTTTCATTCATTTTGCTTAGTTGACCCTCTAGTCCTACAACTCTTGCTTGCAAATCAGTATTTCGCAGGGCGGACTCACTTAGGTCACCTTTTAGCTTCTGAACGTCATGCTCTAGCATATCGATTCTATCTAACAAATTGGTTTTCTCTAACTCGAGAGATGCTAAAGTGGCCTTTAACATCGAAACCTCCTAAAAAACATCATCAAACCCTGCTAGCCTGCTAGAAAATTTTCTTGTTTTTCATAACTAGGGGTGCAAACGAGCCAAGCTACTCGTGAGTTACTCAGGATTGGATCGTTAAAAGCTCGAATCGAAATGGATTTTTAACGAGCCCGATCCGAGCTCGAGCTTAATATTAAGCTTGTTTATTAAACGAGCTCGAGCTCGAGCCTATGTCATAAAGCTCGATTAGGCTCGCGAGCCTAAACGAGCATTTTATATATTAAAATAAAAACATTTTAGTGGAATTATGGATTTAGGGTATTAGTAAACGAGCTTTTTAACGAGCTCAATCCGAGCTTAAGCTTATTTAGACACATCAGATAAAAAACGAATCAAGCCCGAGCCCGAGCCGAGCTTGTATGATTCTTTACGAGCTCGAGCCGAGCTTAGTATAAGAAACCTTGAATCGAGTCGAGATTGAGCTCGAGTCTCATATAACTTAAACGAGCCTGAGCCGAGCCTAGTCAAGCTCGGGCTCGGCTCGGCTTGTTTGCACCCCTATTCATAACGACTAGTTCATTTCTCACCTTATCCACCTTATCCACATTCGGCATGAATTTCTCCAACTCAACAACTTTTCCCACAAGCTCCACATGTCGGTTATGAAACAATTTCACGTTATGAGCAACCCCTTTAGATGACACCACAAACGGCTTAATCAGATCATATATTGTCTTGAACTCATCACGCATGCTACCATTTTCCAAGTGCAACGACTCATTCTCATCAAGCAACAAAATAATATCTTGGCCCAGAACCATATTCTTCAAAAGTGTAACACTTGAATTTGGTATGTTCCCTTTCAACCCTTCTTATTTTTAAAAACATTGCAATTTGGCCCTTGTGGCTAGTATACGGAGCGTACCATAGTGTACGATTGGCGTACTAGCTGAAGTGTGATTGTGGGTTCGAGCCTCGTACGATGGATAGGGGAAAACCCAAATTTTAAGGGCTTATGCCCTATTTAAGCCTCGTTAACTCACCTCCTGGACATTTTAGACCAGCCGCCACCATTTGAAAACCCTGATTCATTCCTTTGCCTTGTGTGGTGCTCTCGTGCTCTTGTTTTGCTCATTAGAGGGCTTTGTGCATCTTGAAGTGGTAGAAGAAGAAGCATGGAAACTCATTCTTTGGAAATGAGCTTAGAGATCCAACTTTAGCACCTTCATTTCGCAGCTATTGAGGTATAAAGTTCAAATCCTGTCATCTCATTTCATAAATTTATTCCTTGGCTTACTTTTTGGTTATTATGGTTCCTTTTTGGCTGGTTTTGTGAGCTAAGGTCATTTATGGAGCTTATCCTTGTAGATATGGGCATATTAAGGGTTTCTTAAGCATAAAGGTGCAATTTTTATGGTGGTTTTGGTGCATGTGTTAAGTCATTTATTAAGTTATTTTGAGCTTTAGAGCCCCATTAAGCCATGCATGCACATAAAGTTGGCAATTTACGTGATAAACTACCTTAGGGAAGTCAGATTAATGATTTGGATTGATGTCTTAATCAAATAAGTGATGAATGAAGAAAGGTGGCTAAACAAGGGAGTACATTGGGCATACAAGCAGGTATGATGCGCGTCTAAGCCCCAAAGCAAGTACGGTGGGCGTACGAGCTGAGTACGCCTCGCGTACTCAACAAATGCGCTTCAGATTGTTTGGGCTCATGGTGTTTGGCTATGTTTGGACTATTGATAGCTATGGCCTTATTGGGCCATCAAAATATTAGTTTGGGCTAATGATATTTATTGGACATTTGGTTGAAGGCCTATGAAAGGGATTTGGGCCCAATTTGGAAAATTGGGCCATAATTGGGATTTGGGTGATTATTTTGGAATTTGGGATTTTGGAAAATTGGATTGGGCCTTGGCTTTGAACCAAGTTGGGTAAGGATAAAAAGGTCTTTTACCCTAGTTTGGATTCTTTGTGTGAACTGGGATTCAATTAATAATTGGATGTTTCCTGTCATTTCTTATCTGAAGGTCGTTGGATGTAAGTCGATTGTGTAAAGGCTTTGGGCCTTAAGGAGGTAAATTTTAGTCCTAGTGGAAGGAGGTAATGATGGTTAATAGATTTAACGCTTGAACTGCATATTGGATCGAAGGGTAGAAAGGGAAAAGTCATAGGCAAGGTTCTTGCATGAAATATGGATTTTTGTTCGAGAAGTGTTTAGTCCAAGATATCTAGATAATATTTTCGGGCTATTCAATAGCTTTATGTGGATATAAAGATCGTCGAAAACGGATTTGGAACGAAGAAGTTATGACTGTTAGAAGTTAAGAAGGTTTTGGGTTAAGCCGAGTACTTTTGGGCGTACTAGGCAAGGGTTGATCGTGGAGGATCAACCTGGTACGCTAGACGTACCAGATGTACGTTGGGTGTACGTGATCAAAACCTAAACCATAATTTCAGGGTTTTTGAGCCCTATTTAAGCTCCATAACTTCCCTAAACCTTTATTTCTTTCAACATCCATCCTGTCTAACCCTAATATCAAAACCCTAGCCCCATTTGTGAGATCCTTGAGTGTTTAAGTGCTTTGGAGTGTTCTTGGTGCATCTTGGAGAAGAAGGAACACATATGAGAAGTGTTTGTTGCATTGGAGCTTGTAGATCCAAATCCTGTTCACCTTGATCTTTCTTCTAGAGGTATGAAGCTTGAATCTTGATGATGCATTTGTTATATCTAGCTAGATTCGGATGTTATGAGTTTTTGCTCACTTGAGGGCATAAAGTTTAAATCTTGAAAGTTTGTGACATTGTTATGGATAAAGTTGGGAACTTTATCCATCTAAATATCATTTTGATTCGGATCTAAAAGTTGGAAACTTGGACTTAATGGATTAAGTAAGAAAGATGCGCTTTTGGTCCCTTTGAAACTTAAAAGAGTAGATCTTTGTTGCTTGGACCATTCTAATGGATAAAGTTGGAAACTTTATCCATTATGGAGCTATTACGAACCATAAAAATGTGATCGTGGTCCTTCCATCCCATCCATGCAAGAGTTGAGATGTCTTAATGGATAAATAAGTTATAGTTTTTGTGTTTGGACCTTTTCTAGCCATGGAAAGTCATAAAGGAGGAAACGTTATGACTTAAGTCGATGTTTTGAGTCTAAATCTGAGATATGGACAAAAGGTCTTAAGGGATTAAGCACTAAAGGAAGGAATTATCATGGACATATGTACGTCGGGAGTACCTAAGAGTACGTTGCGTGTATTGGCCCTTAATCACGTATGATGGGCGTACTCAACTACCTTGGACTTTAACTTTCGTTGATTGTTGACCAAGTTTGATTTTGGGTCAAACTTGAGGATTTTGGACTGTTGAATGAGATTTTATATGGTTTTGGTGTTAGTGGGTTCGCGGGTGCAAGCAATGCAGAAAAATGGATTGTATCACAGTGTTTTAGAGTTTTCGATTCAGGTGAGTTTTCCTCATTGTGCTTGTGGGTCGAAGGCACCAATGTTGACCCACTAGATTATGTATCCTAGTATATAGGATATTGTTATGTTGTAGTGATCTGTTAGATTTGTATCCTGGTATATAGGATGTTGCTATGCGGTAGTGACCTGTAGATCTGTCTGTTCGTCTGCTGACTAGTTATATGTTTATCTGATGCATATGTTGATATAGGTGTTGTTTGTTTTTTTAAACCAAAATGTCTGCAGTTTGTGGACCACATCTGCAATCGTCTGTGACAGAATAGGTGGACAAAATGTCTACAATCTGCAATAAAAAAAGTGTTTGTTTTTAACGTCTGTGGTTGCTGAAATAAACTGATTTTTCAAACATAATTTCATGTCATAAACATAAAAAAACATTTTCAGCAGGGATTGGAGGCGATGAAGAAAGGAAAAGAAGATAGACGATCTTTTATATTTGGGTTAGGTTAAAATGTGGTGCAAAGTCCATTGAAGATAGTGGTTCATGTCTGTGCCAGGAATCGCGCACATATTTTTTGATCTGCGCACTTCCAAAAAACAAACACTATGTGAGGGCATATGTTTGAGCGTTGTCTGCGCAGCGCAAACAACCGTGATTGCACAAATCTGCACAAAAAAAGAAAACCAAACAACCCCATAGTGTGGTTGGGTTGAGACTGTACTGCTTTGTGTTACCAATCAACAATCTCGATGCAATCCGATCGGGAGTTTGTGGGCCACGACAATCCAACCGAAAGGTTATAGGTCAAGGGTAATCTAACCGGGAAGTTGTGGACCCAATATGTAGTATGTGTGACAATCCAACCGTGAAGAAAAAGTTGGGCCATAAAGACTACCCAATTCATTATCCAACAAGTGAAATTACAACGGTGTGATTTCTTTAGAACCAAAAGCGCCTTTAATCATAAATCGAAAATCAATAAACAAAAAAATTTGTGAAATTAAAGATTACCAGCTGAAACAATTAATTTGAAAATTGAAATTAAAAAAAATCATCAATGAAGCTATATGAGAAAAAACATTCTGAAAACTGAAATTAAAAAAAAAAATCATCAACGAAGTTATTCGAGAAAATACATAATGAACTGACTTTACGCAAACCGTAGCAACGCTCCTTTTCTTCCTAGAGTTGATGATCACATCCCCATGAAATCCATAAATTAGTTGATGAAAAGCAAACGGAAATTGAAGATATCATGTGAAATGTACTGATTGTCAATACAACACTTTCATTTACGTGTCTAAAACCCTAATTTTTAGAACGGAACGACGAAATTAGAAACACCCATTGAAAATAACATCGACTAATTCCTCTTACCTCCATCGGAAGCTGGTGGCCATTCCTGTCTTCCGGAGACGCCGATAGTGATTAGGCAGAGGAGGAGGACGGTGCTGAAGGGAGGTAGGAGGTGGAAGCATCGACAAGAACAAATAGGGAGGTAACAGGTGGAGGCGGTGACTATTCTATTCAATCGAAAGCATGTTCTTCAAAAATAGATTAATATGCGTATGAGGCGATGGGAAGTCGGTGTAACAGATGAAGTGACAAAAATCAATAACTGAAGGGCAGAAACTGTCAAACCCTTAAATAAATGTGGTCTAGACTTAAAATGGGTAAACTTTACTGTTCATTAGAGTCCCTTAGATTTAATAAAGAACGAAGAGGGAGGTAGCAGGTGGAGGTGGTGACTATGCTCTATTGAAAGCATGTTCTTCAAAAACAGATAAATATGCGTATGAGGCTGTGGGAAGTCGATGTAACTGATGAAATGACAAAAATCAATAACCGAAGAATAGAAACTGTCAAACCCTTAAATAAATGTGGTCGAAACTTAAAATAAGTAAACTTTACTGTTCACTAGAGTCCTTAGATTTAATAATATATATATATATATATATATATATATATATATATATATATATATATATATATATATATATATATATATATATATATAATATAATACATACAATATATAATAAACTAACGTCACTGGTTTGTCTGTTTACACCATTGTCGACTCATAAACGGTCTAATCTCTCTTAATCTATCGCACCCCCTCTTATAAGTCACTCAAATCCTTCCCCTTTCCCTATTTCCAAAATTATCCAGCAACAGTATTTGATGAATCTACAAAAAAAAATTAGGGTTTTCACCTCTTCGTGGAGCTGCCGACGTGGTTTTCCTTTGGATCTCGATGCTCAATTCCGATGAGATTTTAGCGAAATTCCACCACACATTCCTTGGGCTTCATCTCAAGGATGGCATACTTATTTTTTTTATAGACCGAAATCCAGTTCCCTGTTAATAAGGGATACCTAATATGCTTCCCGATGAAGGTGAGATGTGATTAACACTTTTTGTTTGTTAGATTGTATGCAATATGCGCATGAATTACATTGAAGTTTTTTGCTGTTTAAATATTAGGAATTTTGGTGGATCAAAATCTCCCCTTTTTTATTATGAATTTAGGGTTCGTGAAATTGTGCAAACTTCTACGTTTATGATGTTCATCAATTTCAGTATATATGTTCATATTATTAAGAATCTTTATATAGTTTAATGGTTTGATTTTCTAATTTTTGGTCTATTATATTTTTTAGTTTTAATGTTTGGTTGTGTATGTAGCTAAAGTGAATAACAATTAATTGATGTTAATATAATTTTCTATAGCTATATTATCAGCCATCAAGGATTATGATCTTACAACGCAATGTATGTTTTATCTCATTAGTCATTAGCAATCATAATTTCACACTTGTTATTATCTATGTCATCTGTTCTCTACATTTAGCGAATGAAATTAATAAGCTGAGAATAACATTCTTTTGGAAAATTAAAAATGGTGTGGCTGTGGAAGAGATAGTAAAAAGCTTAGAAACGCTGAATCATAAAATTGTTAGAATGGGATCATATTTTTAGAGTTGGAGCATTATAAACTTTTGAATCATATTATTTCGGATATTAATAATTTATTGGATCATAATAATATGTTTGGATCATAAACTTGTTGGCTGTATGTAGATCACATGTTCTATACGTGTGTTTTACCTCATTAGCAATTTTAATTAAAGAAAGGGTAATATACATCTTCTAAATACCCTGAAGTAGTAGTACACTTGACTTGACATGGTAAGTTGGTCTTTTTGTTGACTTTTTGTGGTATTGACATTCTTAGGGATTTGTTACAACGTCATGAATGAGTTACTGCACTCACTTTCTTATGTTGAAGGAATCCGATATAAGATAGGCGACGGGGATGATGGAAACTTGATGGAGGAGTTTCAAGTAATCCAACTTAAATTTTGATATTCAGATGGTATGAATGCTTCTCATAAACTGTTTTAAGCTTACAATGTTTATGTGTGTCCATATATCAACTATTCTACTTGTATACAAATGATAGTTAGAGCTTCCTGTTTTTTTTTTTTTTTTTTTTGGCTATCCAACCCCTAATTAACTTATTGGTTAAGAATTATGGTTTACTTTAGGGTAAATTAAACTATGTATTATAGTTATAGATTACACTACTGGATTCAACCTTTTCAAAACCCAAAGGGGGTTGCCCATAGTTAGTCTTTTGTTCACTTTATTCTAATGTGAAGTGTACTACTTCAAGAAGATGTAATATTATAAAATATGGTTTTGCAAATTCAAGCTATTCCAAGATAAATAACATCAGCTAGAAGAATTAGTCCAATATCTTGCACTTTATTTTTAAAAGGTGGATGGAATGTTAATGTGGATGCACTTTGTGTGAGTCAAGGTTAGAGACACCTAATTACAATTAGCCGGGCTCTCTGTGTTGAGAGATAGAGATAGGGGGAAATACACTTGATGGATGATTGTTATACTTATACACAATATCTTGCAATAATGCAAAACTTGTATGAATATTATCAACTTGCTGCATTTTTATGCAGGGTGCTACGACAAATATTATCGTAGGTTCCGAAGTATGGGTTGAAGACCCATCAGTTGCTTGGATAGATGGAGAGGTGTTAAAAATAAATGGAGAGGAAGTTGAGATCCAAACTACTGATGGGAAGAAAGTAAGTTGATTTTCTTTCAGTTTTAAATTCCCTATATATATATATATATATATATATATTTTTTTTTTTTTTCTGGTAAACAAAGATGGATAATGAATGGTTTTACTCTTTGAATTTGCCATTGAAGGTTGTTGCGAATTTATCAAAAATATATTCCAAAGATGTGGAAGCGACTGCTGGTGGAGTTGATGACATGACCAAGCTTTCTTATTTGCATGAGCCTGGAGTGTTGCAAAATTTAGCTACCAGATATCAGCTGAATGAAATATATGTAAGAAAGATAACCCAACCTGTATTTTATATTTTATTTTTGATTTTTATTTTTGTTCAATCTGGTGAGAGAAAACCATGAACTATACTGCAGCTATGGGGGGCTGTGTCATAATATTATATATCGTATTCTGACATATGGCAGACATATACTGGCAACATCCTTATCGCTGTTAACCCATTTAAAAGATTGCCCCTCTTGTATGATGATAAAATGATGCAACGCTACAAAGGAGCAGCATTTGGGGAGCTAGATCCTCATGTTTTTGCAATTGCAGATTCTGCTTTTAGGTTATCTCCTCACCTCACCTCACACCACCTCTTCTTTTTCTTCAGAGGATTCATTCTTTATTTTATGATGAATGTATCTATCAGGGCAATGGTGAATGAAGGAAAAAGCAACTCGATCTTGGTCAGTGGTGAAAGTGGGGCAGGTAAAACTGAGACTACTAAAATGCTTATGCAATATCTTGCCTTTTTGGGTGGTCGTAAAGGCACTGAAGGAAGAACTGTTGAACAGCAAATTCTTGAAGTAAGCAACTTGATACCTTGGCTTTTATATATGTATATATATTAGTTTTTTTGCTGTATGTTCCTCTTAACTATATGTTGTTATAAATGCAGTCGAATCCAGTTCTGGAAGCCTTTGGGAATGCAAAAACTGTTAGAAATAACAACTCCAGGTGCTGATCACATTATAAAGTTATTGTATGATATGAGTTAATAATAATCACATAGGCTTAAAAATCCTGATATATTTGTATGTAAATGCAGTCGTTTTGGTAAATTTGTTGAGATTCAGTTTGATAAACAAGGGCGAATATCTGGAGCAGCCATCCGCACATACCTTCTAGAAAGATCTCGTGTTTGCCAAATTTCAGATCCTGAACGCAACTATCACTGTTTCTATCTTCTCTGTGCAGCACCTCCAGAGGTTGTTTTACACTTTTACATGCATTGGTTACAATTTACACTTTTCCATGACCAAGGCTTTGGATTTTTATAAAATCAATCGTAACACTATTTTCTAACAACATATTTCATTCAGGAGATTAAGAAATATAAACTGGGAGACCCTAAGTCATATCGGTATCTGAATCAATCAAAGTGCTATGAGCTTGATGATGTAAGCGATGCCCGTGATTATCTTGCCACAAGGAGAGCCATGGCAGTTGTTGGGATGAATGAAAAGGAACAGGTTATAGTAGTATCTTCATATAAAATACTAATTTGCTTTCTTGATAAATCATAATACAAGTGCTATAACATGCTCACCTACTCCAGGATGCAATTTTCAGAGTTCTGGCTTCAATTCTCCATCTTGGAAATGTTGAATTTTCAAAAGGGAAAGAGGTTGATTCCTCCGTCCTCAAAGATGACAAATCCAAATTCCATCTTCAGACAACATCAGAGTTGCTAATGTGTGTTTTCTCCTTTGTCTTCAGATTCAATTAATTTGATGTGTGTGCATCACTAAATAATATATCCTGTTGATCATCATGCTTAATTAGGTGTGATTTTAATGAACTGGAAGATGCACTGCTGAAGCGTGTGATGGTTACCCCTGAAGAAGTTATCAAGAGAAGTCTTAATCCTGAGGGTGCATCTGTTAGTAGAGATGGTCTCGCAAAGACCTTATATTCCCGCTTATTTGACTGGTAGTTTCAGCCTAAATAAATAAATACAACATGGCAATTAAGTCAATTAGATACTATAGCATGGTTATTCATATCTGCAGGTTAGTGGAAAAAATTAATGTGTCGATTGGGCAAGATCCAAATTCAAGATATCTGATTGGGGTTCTTGACATATATGGTTTTGAGAGCTTTAAATCTAATAGGTAATCTTATGTGCTGAAATAATCATCAAGGGCGTTTGAACGCAGCCTTGTTTGTTGATGATTCATTTTTGTCACCATGTTTGGATTGTGCAGTTTTGAACAATTTTGTATTAATTATACTAATGAGAAGCTGCAGCAACATTTCAACCAGGTTTGACTTTTGGTATTTCTGACTTAATGATTGACGATTCTGCTGAATCCCATGATTGGGTTTTTGTTTTGTACTTCCATTCACAGCACGTATTCAAGACTGAGCAAGAGGAATATACCAAAGAAGCAATCGACTGGAGCTACATAGAGTTTATAGATAATAAGGATGTTCTAGATCTTATTGAAAAGGTATTTCATATAATTTGAAAGTGCATTCCATCATGATATGATGATGGCTTCAACATTGGATTAATGCTTAAATTATGATTGCAGAAACCTGGTGGGATTATTGCACTACTTGATGAGGCCTGGTATGTAGTGTTCTTCAGCTTATATGTACTTTTGAAATAACTGCTTGTTAGCTGGTGACATGCTTATTCTGTTTCCAGTATGTTTCCCAAGTCGACTCATGAAACATTCTCACAGAAGCTTTATCAGACATTCAAATCTCATCAACGGTTTTTCAAACCAAAACTGTCTCGCACTGGTTTCACCATTGCTCACTATGCAGGAGAGGTGATTTGAATAGATTTTCTACTCTCTTTCTGTATTTCAAAGCCTCTTATATCTGTTTTCTGTTTGTATTCAGGTTCAATATCAATCTGAGCAGTTTCTAGACAAAAACAAAGATTATGTTGTTCCGGAACATCAAGATATGTTGACTGCTTCCAAGTGCCTTTTTATATCAGGCCTTTTCCCTCCATTGGCTGAGGAGACAACCAAATCATCAAACAAATCTTCTAAGTTCTCATCGATTGGTTCTCGCTTCAAGGTAAGTTTTTCTTTTTAAAAAAAAAAAAAGATCCTTAATGTCATGTTATGCTGGTCATAAGTTGATCTGATCTTTTTGTTAATGCATGCAGTTACAACTTCAGCAGTTGATGGAAACTTTGAATTGCACAGAACCCCACTATATCAGATGTGTGAAGCCAAATAATTTTCTTAAGCCTGGCATCTTTGAGAATGTCAACATTATGCAACAATTACGTTGTGGGGTGAGCACTGATGAGATAATGCAATCGATATATTATAAGCTTTAATAATAGTAAATTCATTAAACATGTAATAATTTTTCTTTTCTTATTACTAAGGGGGTTCTAGAAGCAATTCGCATCAGCTGTGCTGGCTATCCTACTCGCAAGAGTTTTTCTGATTTCGTTACCAGATTCAGCATTCTTGCTCCCGAGGTTAAAAGTGAGAAGTAAGTAAAGACATTTTAACACCACACAACGTTTAAAAACTGATAAATGGTTTTCATTATCAATGTGTGTATAACCTGAGTTATTTCTTTACAGTTATGATCCGAAGGTTGCCTGCAAAAAGATCCTGGCCAAATCAGGGCTTCAGGGATATCAGGTACCAAAAGTTCCTCTTTCTTCTGAATGCAAGATTTCTTTTAGCATTCAGTCAACATTTCTATGAACTAAGTGAAATCTCAATAATTTTGCAGATAGGGAAAACCAAAGTTTTTCTTAGAGCTGGTCAGATGGCTGAATTAGATGCACGAAAAGCACAGAAGCTTAGCAGCACAGCCAAGATTATACAAAGACAGATAAAAACTTACATTGCTAGGAAGTATTTTCTTGCTTTGAGGAAGTCTGCTATTGTCTGGCAGTCATTTTGCAGAAGTATTTCCTTAACTTTCATCTATGCTCAGCTGTATTATATAACTTCTCATCCCAATGACCAATTCTCATTGTGGTGTTATGTTATGTCCACTAGGAAAGCTTGCATGTAACGTGTATCAACACATGAAAAACAATGCTGCTACACTTAAAATACAGACGTTCTACAGGCGACACCTGTCAATGAAGACCTATAACAAACTCAAGCTGTCAGTTGTCCTCTTCCAGGCACGTCTGCGTTCAATGGTTGCTAGTAAACATCTCAGATTCAGAAAACAAAGCAAGGCAGCAACTCGTTTACAAGTCAGGCCCTTGTTTCCTCACATTGGTTATAGATCTAAACCTTTATTATACTTTCTAATAAGAATTTATGGTTGTAGGCCCACTGGCGTGGTTATAGAGACTCTTCATACTATAAGAAACTGATAAGTGCAGCAGTTGTTACACAATGTAGGTGGAAGGGGAGAATTGCTAGGAAAGAGCTTCGGAGACGAAAGATGGTTTGTTTTTTTGTTGCATGTGCTTTATAAGAAAAATGAATAGCTAAGGGTGCGTTTAGTTACGGAAAAAATGGGCCGTTTTCTGGAAAAATTTTCTAAGAAAAATGAGAATTTTGAAAACGCGTCTAGTTCAATAATTTTTATAAATTAGTTTTCCGTTTTCCAAAATTACAAAGAAATTAGAAAATTTTGGAAAACCAATAATCATTGTTTTCCATATTTTTCTAATTCCAAAATTTTTCGAAAATATAAACACACGCCCACCTCTACATACCCCACCCTAACACCCCCAACCCACCCACTCCCAAGACCCACCCCACCCCACAAATACACCCCTACCACCACTACCCTCCATAAACACACACACCCACCCACCTGTCAAAGATATTACTGCAGATTTCATGTTTTAGATTAATCAGCAAAATATCTTTGCTATCGGTCTTCTGTTGTCAATAATTGTAGATAATTTAGTAAACTGATTTATGGAGGCTAGAAATCTGTAATGTAGGCTGATTATTAGCTTGGTTATTCAGTATATATTAAGGATTCTTCTGAATGAGAAAACACATCTTTTTCCCAAAACAAGTCTCTAAATTGTCATGGTATCAAAGCCACAATTCTACAATTCTGATCGGTTTCTAGTCTTTCTTTTCTCACTTAATCCTAGTTTAATATTTTGCTCTTAGTTATTCTTGATCAAGTTCTTGTAGCTTCATGTCTACCATGTCCTCAGAAAAATGTGATGCTTTCTTGGTTCGATTCAGACTCAGCATGGTCATTTCATTTCCAAATTTTTGTCAAAGGGAAGGCCTTATGGGGCCATATTGATGGCAACTCTCCGGTTCCAACTCTTGACAAAGACAAAAACAAGACCCAACATGCCAAATGGGAGGTCAAGGATGCCCAAATCATGACATTGATTATTAGTTCTGTTGAATCCAATGTTGTGTTAAATCATGGCCAGATGTGGGAACACTTGAAGAAACTCTATAGTCAGAACAACACTGCTCAAAGATTTCAATTGAAACATGAATTTGCTCCCCTTCCGACTTTTACTCTTGTTTCATGAATCTTTGGGCTGAATATACAGATATTGTTTATGCCACTTTACCTCCAGAAGGTCTTAGTTATGTTCAAGCTGTGCATGAAACTTCTAAAAGAGATCAATTCCTTATGAAGCTTCGGTTTGATTTTGAAATCACTAGATCCAATCTTATGAGTTGAGACCCGATTCCTTCTTTGGATGCATGCCTCAATGATTTATTCCAAGAAGAACGTCTTCTCACTCAAAATAACTTGGACAAACAGAAATCCACGACGGTTCCTATGACTTATGCAACACAAGGTAAGCCAAGAGGTAGGGATATACGCACAGTTCAATGTTTTTGTTGCAAAGAAATTGGTCATTATGCTTCAAATTGTCCAAAGAAATTCTGTAACTACTGCAAAAAGGATGGCCATTTTATCAAGGAATGCCCTACCAGGCTTCCTAAAAGATCAGAAACATCATATAGTTGGGTCTTCAGGTGCTGGTGGTTCTATGAATACAGCTCATGCAACACAAAATACCCCTACACTACAACCGTAACTCCTGAAATGATTCAACGATTGATCATTTCTGCATTTTCTGCCTTGGGAATATCCGATAAATCTCTTTCACCTACATGATATTTCGACTTTGAAACCTGAAACTATATGAAAAATTCTTCTCATTCTCTTACCAACCTAAAGAAATACACCGGGAATCTTGAAATCCATACAGCTGATGGTAATCACTTACCTATCAGAGCTACCAGTGACATCTCGGCATCCGTAAAAAATGTTTTTATCTCTCCGGGTCTTACTACTAATCTTAATTCTGTTGGCCAACTCGTTGATACTGATTGCAAGGTGGAAATTTCTAAGCTTGGTTGTATTTTGTAGGATCAACAGTCAGGAAAGATGATTGCGAGGGGGACAACTCGTCTTTTTCCTTCTGATTCTCTTTTTTCTTCATATCCAATGCTGCCTTTTGTTGATTGTAATTTTGCTCCTGTTGATTACAAAGTGTGGCACAGGAGTCTTGGACATTCAAATAAACATGTCATTTTTGATTTATTGAAAGCTGGTTTGCCAGGAAATAAAAAAGCGTCATCTTTTGAGAGTTCAATTTGAATGTAGTTCTTGTAAACTCGAAAAAAGTAAATCTTTTCATTTTCCCACTCGTTCATCTAACATAACTCAGCCTTTTGATTTGATACATAGCGATGTTTGGGGTATAACACCGGTTACTTCTCATGCAAATTATAAATACTTCGTTGCCTTTATAGACGATTACAGTCGTTTCACATGGATTTATTTCATGCGTTCTAAAGATGATGCATTTTCAGTTTTCAAGTTGTTCCATGCTTATGTTCAAACCTAATTTTCGGCTCAAATTCAAATTCTTCGATCCGATAATGGGGGATAATACATATCTCATATTTTTCAAGAATTCCTACAAGAAAATGACATAATTTCTCAAAGATTGTACCCTTCAACACCTCAACAAAATAGGGTGGCTGGAAGGAAAAATCACCACCTTCTTGATGTGATTTGTACACTTCTCTTAGAGTCACTTGTACCTGTTAGGTTTTGGTGTGAAGCTCTTTCTAAAGCTGCACACCTTATTAACAGACTCCCTTCTCCTTCGTTGAACCATCTGTCTCCTTTTACTCGATTATTTGGTCGCAACCTGAATTATTCTAATCGTCGTATATTTGGTTGTGTATGTTATGTTCATATCCCCACACATTAACGCTACAAAACTAACAATACAATCTGCCATGTGTGTTTTTCTAGGTTATTTCACTCACCAGAAAGGTTTTCTTTGTTATGAAGTGTGTTGTATTCCGGTTTCAGAAATGTGATCTTTATATGGAATCAATATTTCTTTTCCACTAACAAATATCACGTTTCCCCTTCATTTTCTGCAGTTCTTATATTTGCTGACTATTTTGAAGAACCTTCCTCTTCAAAACCACTATTGGTTTATCATAGACATAAAAACACCATGATAAATCAACCTCCCACACCTCCAACACCCTCCCAATCTAATTCCCTTGCTGCTGATCCAATTTCAACAAGTGAACATGCCACTCACTCGAAGACAAAGTATCTAGGTTAGTAAACCTTCTGATAGGTATGGTTTTTCCAATCATGTATCCTTCACAACCACTTTGTACTCTATTTCCATTCCTTCGCCTTATAAACAGGCAATGGATCATGATTGTTGGAGAAAAGCTATTGAAACAGAACTTTTTGCACTTGAAGAAAATCAAACTTGGGATGTTATTACATGTCCCTCATCTATGAAACATTTGGGTAGAAAGTTTTTATTTTCTTTCGAGTTACATTCTGATGGATCCATTGACAGTTACAAGGCTTGTTTAGTAGTCCTTGAGAACAAACAGGAGTATGGCTTAGACTATGATGAAACATTTGCACCGGTGGCCAAGATGACTATCGTACGGACCATATTAGCCATTGTTGCCTCTCAATCACGGCCTTTACTTTAAATGGATGTCAAGAATGCATTTTTACACGGAGATTTGAAACAAGTTTATATAAAACCACCTCATGGTATGCCTACCTCACCTGGTGATGTTTGCAAAATAAATATGGCTTGAAACAGACACCAAGCGTATGGTTTGAGAAGTTTTGATCCACCCTTCTTGGCTTTAAACAGGCACCAAGTGTATGGTTTGAGAAGTTTCTAATTTTCAGAAACTGAAAATGAAAAAGGAATAAGCTTTAACTAAACGCGTTTTCTAGATTTTCCAATGAAAACTGAAAACAAAAATTGAAAACGGAAAATCGGAAATGAAAATTGTTTTTCCGTAACTAAATGCAACCTAAGTTTTGCCAATTGCAGTTTTTAATGGGATCCGATCAATCTAAATCCATATTATTGTTCTCTCTCTCTCTCTATATATATATATATATATATATATATATATATATATTATATATATATATATAATAGGGTTTAGTTATTGTGCGAACTAAAAAAGCCTGTGAACTTGCGAACTCATACTCAAATCATCATTTTTCAAAACGAAAAACATCAATCTTCTCCAAATGGTGCGTCTAAGCCATATCAAGGCTAAAAAAAAAAGATTTGACAAATTTTTTTATTTTTTATTTTTTTCAAAATTTTCATGTATGCAGAATCAGCAGTCCATGGACATCTGCAGTTCATATGACTGTTGATTGTGCTCATCAGCAGTCATACAAAAAAAAATGATCAAATCTTTTTTTTTTTTGAACCTAGCTAGATATGGCTTAGGTACACCATTTGGAGAAGATTGATGTTTTTGGTGTTGAACAATGATGAGCTAATTATGAGTTTGCAAGTTTTCACAAATCTTTTGGTTCTCAATAGAACTTGGCTCTCTCTCTCTCTCTCTCTCTCTATATATATATATATATATATATATATATATATATATATATATATATATAAATTTTAAACATATATAGGCGGCAAAGGAAGCTAGTGCACTCCAACTAGTGAAAGATAATCTTGAAAAACAAGTGGAAGAGCTCACATCGCGTTTAGAGTCAGAAAAACGCTTGAAGGTAGTGTTAGTCTATTGTAAACAGTATTCATGTTACCATTAGTGTGGGTGGGTTGTATTTATGATTGCTCGAATATATATATATATATATATATATATATATATATATATATATATATATAATTGAATCTGATAAAATAGACCACTGTATGGTGCAGATTGAGTTGGAAGAAGCAAAAGATCGGGAAATTCTCAAAGTGAAGAGCTCCCTGAAAGCCATGCAAAAAGACGTTGATGAAGCAAAATTATTACTTGTAAAGGAACGAGAGTCTACACAGAAAGCAATTCAAGAAAAAGATCAGGAGCTTTTGAAATTACAGAACTCCCTGCAAGCCATGCAGAATAAAGCTGATGAAACAAATGCATTGCTTTCCAAGGAACGTGGTTCTGCCCAGAAAGCAATTCAAGAAGCCAAAGAAGCAAAAGATGAGGAAATTTTGAAATTGCAAAACTGCTTGCAAGCCATGCAGAGTAAATTTGATGCGACGTATGAATTGCTTGTTCAGGAACGTGTGTCTGTAGAGAGAGCAATTGAAGAAGCCACAAGGGAAAAAGTTCAGGAAATTCTGGAATTACAGAACTCCCTGAAATCCATTCAGAATAAATTCGAAGAAACAAATGCATTGCTTCTCAAGGAACGCGATTCTACACAGAAATCAATTCAAGAGGCAAAAGAAGCAAAAGATCAGGAGATTCTGAATCTGCAGAACTCCCTGCAAGCTATGCAGAGTAAACTCGATGAAACAAATGTGTTTCTTGTGAAGGAACGTGAGTCTGCACAGAAAGCAATCGAAGAAGTAAAAGCAGCAAAAGATGAGGAAGTTCTGAATTTGCAAAACTCCATGCAAGCCATGCAGAATAAAATTGATGAAACAAATGCATTGCTTGTTAAGGAACGGGAGTCTGCACGGAAAGCAATTGAAGAAGCATCCTCAGTTGTCAAAGAAATTCCAGTCCGTGTAGAAGACACACAAAAGATTGCTAGTTTGACTTCAGAAGTTAAAAACTTGAAGGTATGTACTCTTGGTTTCCTAGAAATTTCTCTCTCATTGCCACTGCATACTAGTACGTAGTTCTTATGTACTTATGCCATGCAGGCTTTATCAGAGTGGGAAAGACAAAGGGCAGATGAATCTGATAGGAAGTGTAGTGAAGCTCTGGAATCAAGTGAGTATAAGCGGATGCAGTTAGAAGAAACTGAAAGAAGAGTGCTTCAACTCCAGGAATCTTTGGATAGGTATCATTGCTGCAAAATCTTTCATAGTAAGAAAAATTCTCTAGTTAGACTTATGACCCTGAATAAACTTGTTTCTAACCAAATCCAGAATATCAGGCCAGTTCTAACTTTAAAACAAAAATAGGTCCAGTTTGAGTTAATTTAGAGCTAGAATCATATATAAATGATATAAGTGCAACCAACCTCTAGTTCTATTGGTATATAATATTCTCCTTATGCAGACGCATACGTCAGGAAAAATTGGTTTTTGATAGTTTTGCATGTATTGAAAAATGTGCATTATGATATATTATTAGTAACAAATGACTAGCAATATCACACAAAAGTTGTTCATATGCTTTATTTATAGGAAAGTGTTAGTTTTTGTGATGTGTGGTTAGTTTATCAATTGTTGTTGTCTTTGTGCAATTAGGCTGGAGGACAAGCTGGCTGACATTGAGTCACATAATCCAGGTCTTCATCAGCAGCAGGGTTCATCATCACCACTGCCACAGATTAAGAAACTCCAGGAAGGACACTCAAGGTCCTTTAAGGTACTGCTCCTTGTTATTTATCATGTTTTATTTGAAGACAAGTAGGATTACATTGTAAAATTGTAACAGGATCGACATAGCTGTGCCAGTGCAACACACTCGAGAGAAAACTCGGATGTAGAGGAGGGAGTAAAGAAGTGTGGTGATGATCAGAAACAGGAATGCCAGGATCTGGTGAATCGATGCATTGCACAACGGATGGGATTTCCCAATGGCAGACCCATTGCTGCTTGCATCATATACAAATGTCTAAGGAAATGGCGATCCTTTGAAGCCGAAAAAACCACCATTTTTGATCGCATAATCCAAGCCATAGGCCGATCCATTGAGGTAGGTGGTATCACTTATTTATACTAGTTGTTATTTATATAACCTAGCTTTGATTTTTGATAATGGATTGAAGGCACAAGACAACAGTGATGTTTTAGCTTATTGGTTATCCAATGCATCAACACTGCTGCTGCTGTTACAGCATACACTCAAAGCTAGTGGGGATCAGCCACAACATCGGCGCCCAAGATCAGGTCCTCTACTAGTAAAGAGGAATCAGGTAAGGTATATTTTTTTTAGAATAAGATAAAAATGTTGCGAAAAATATGAATGAATGAAATTTGTTGGTTGGTTGACAGAGCTTTCGTGGAAGTGGAAGTGGAAGTCCTCGTGGTGTAGCCATTTCTATAAACGATATTGGTGATAGCTCGCCTGGCGGAAGCCAGCAGCTTGAACCCAAATACCCTGCTTTGCTTTTCAAGCAGCAACTCACAGCATATGTTGAAAAAACATACGGCTTGATACGCGATAATTTAAAAAGAGAGATATCTCCATTACTTGGCTTGTGCATTCAGGTACCCTCCCACTTTTTTCTAATTTACCTGTCTTGGTACACCACAATTGGAAGCCTCTGACATAACCCATGCTCACTCAATCAAACACTGCTGATCTGGTGTTTGTTAAGTTATACATATATGATGTGAAATGTAGGCGCCAAGAATATCCAAAGCAAACTTGTCAAAGGGGGCAGCTCGTGCACTAGCAACTGCTGCTTCTCATGAGATTTTGCTTGCTCAGTGGCAAGGAATCGTCACAAAAATTGGATGCTTGTTAAACACACTCAAGGCTAATTTTGTCAGTTTCTAATTCTATAAACTTATTCTTTGTTAACTACCCTGCCAAAACATTGCTTCATTTGATTTCCATCGATCTTAATTAATGTGTAGGTACCTTCGTTTTTGATTCGCCAAGTGTTCACGCAGATATTCGCTTTCATCAACGTCCAGTTATTCAACAGGTCTCAACTTACAACTTACAACACATGCAGCAAGCTGACCGTTTGGAATTTTAATTTTAATTCTCTAATTTGTCCTTTCCTGCAGCCTTCTACTGAGACGTGAATGCTGCTCTTATAGTAATGGAGAATACGTGAGATCAGGATTGGCTATATTGGAACTCTGGTGCCTCAAGGCAACCGACGAGGTAATATAATTATGTTATATGAATAAAATCATATATATATATTCTTTCCCTTGACTTTAACAACACCAAATCACAGTATGCTGGATCGGCTTGGGATGAGCTGAAGCACATACGACAAGCTATTGCATTCCTGGTATGCATATATGTATAGATATTATTGCTTAATAATCATGTATTATGTAAATACATATATAGCACGTAGTCATCTAATGAAACAAAAGAAACAGAGGTAAGTGGTGATGTTGGTCTTTTTAGGTTACCCAGCAAAAGCCAAAGAGGACGCTGCATGAAATAAGTTATGATCTGTGTCCTGTAAGTGCATGTGCATGCAAACTTTGAGATTTTAATCAATAATTGCATCCATCTTGACTTCAAGTGTTACTTATGACACCTCACCTCACCTGCATGCATGTGCAGATGCTTAGTATACAACAGCTATACAGAATCAGTACAATGTATTGGGATGACAAAAATGGCACGCATAGCCTTTCTCCTGAAGTAACGCTCAATATCCCATATCATTTTATAATAAACCTACTTACTTAAACCAACATCTAACAGTGATCAGTGGCTGACAGGTTATTTCTAACATGAGGATCCTAATGACCCAAGATTCCAATAATGCCATCGCCAACAACTCCTTCTTGCTTGATGATGATTCAAGGTTATATTTTATCATGTTTATCTTCTTTTACTAATTAATAGTAATACCCTTAATTCCTCCATTCTTTGAATTAAATTGTTCCAACATTGCCCTCGCAATAAGCTGTTCTTGCTGACTTAAAGATTGTGATGGGATATGATATGCATGCAGCATACCGTTCTCGACAGATGAGCTGACAAGATCAATGGATCCGATTGGTGTATCGGATATTGACCTCCGCTCCTTCGTTTCAACTCCGGTTTCAGTCTCTTGCAGTGTCCTAGGTAGCGATTCTTTTGTATGATTAATTAGCTTTAGTTATTAACTTATTATAAGCTGTAGTACAGTTGTGTTGTGTAATCAATTAATAGGGGTTTTGAATTTCTAACCACACACATCCCACTCGTATACTATTTCCAGTTTTGTAGATCCTTATATCTAGCCACTTGATAAAACTTCTCTACAGTTCATTGTCAATACTAAATAGCCATGACCCTATATGTGCTTTGTCATGACTCTTGAATTTCTACATCTTGAAATTTTATGATAGATAAAAAAATACATAAAAATAACTAGTGTAGTCACCTAGCTAGGGGTTTATACGAGCCTAGCCAAGCTCGTTTCAAACCTTAAATTTTTGGAACTCCGGCTTGGCTAGCTCATGTATGTTTTAGAAATCCGAGGTTGGCCCAAGTTAAAAAAACCAAAAATGAAAAACCCCACCTCTATTTGACAAGACTTAAGGGGGTGTTTGGGATTTACCAACTAAAAGATCACTAACCTGTAAAATGCCATATTTGACAAAAAAAAAAAAAAAAAAAAAAAAACACCTCAAATGTGAGACATTATCATACCGAAAATCGTTGTAGGGACAAAAGCTTCTTGCAACCAATTATGGGATGTTTATAGCAATAACCCTTGCTTATTTAAAAAAACTTATGTTGTTTAGTAAAATTGCTTATTCAGTGTTAAAACGAAGTTTAAAAAAAACGTATTTTGTTGAGATTATCTAGTAGCAAAATGTAATAAACAGATAAATTATTTTTTAGTATTTGGCAAATGGTGCTTATGTGTGTAATTAGGAAATAACTTATCAAAAACTCCTTAAATAAGTCAATAAGTAAAGAGCAAGTAACTTATCAAAATTTTTTTATGTAAGTCAATAAGTTCTAGTGCCAAACAGTAATAAATTAAAGATTAAAACTGCAAAACTTGAAAATCCATATAAATACTATTTATCAAATTTGACAAAACTATGGGTGAGCATTTGAGCAGACCAGTTTCGAAGAATATTGTGCACCGTGGACCGGACCGGATGAGACTTATCAGGTTCAGGTTCAGTTTTTTCGGTTCTTGGACACGATTGTACAGGTACAACTTTACATGCATACATTACAAGTCGTTAAAACGTATTTTTGGGTTTGATACAACTCGTTAAAACAATTATGTTGTTAGGTTTGATACGTTACAACCCGTTAAAATGAATATAACACCAAAAACAACAAAACTATAGTATACATTCATCTACAAACTCTAAATTACATGTTAGAAAAAATCGCATATCAATTCGACTTAAAACGAATGAGATTTGATTGTTTAAAGAATTTCACAGAATACAAAAGTTTAAATTTTTTCTGAAAAGTTGAAATATTTCAGTCTTGATATCCCAACTTTGAAGGATTGTAATTCGTTGAATATAATATCAAAAACAACAAAATTATAGTCTACAATCATTTACAAACTCTAAACTACACGTTGAAAAAATCACATGTCAATCAAACTTAAAATGAATGCGATATGGTTGTTTAAAAAATTTCATATAATACGAAAGTTCAAATCATGTCCAAAACCGGGTTTTACCCGGAACCGATAAAAAACGGACTGGTTTTGATCAAATCCTAGAACCGAGAACCGGCACTGGGATCCAAAAAATGTATAGGTCCAGGTCCAATCCGGTCCACGGATCCAGATGCTCACCCCTAAAAAAAACCATAAGGGTCGTCTTTTTTATTTGCTCATACATAAATAAATTGTAAAGAAAAAGTCCGTTAAAGTGTAAAACATGTAATTTACTTGGAATAAGGACTAAAGTTGCGAGGGAATCTCTGTAGGGACCAAAACAAAATTGCAGCTGAACTTAAGGACGAAAATGTATATATATATATATATAATATTATATATATATATATATATATATAATATATATATATATATATATATATATATATATATATATATATATATATATATATATATATATATATTTTCTATATTAAAGTCCATCTCTGTTAACATTAAATGATAAGTACATCTCTTGTTAACATCAAATGATAAGTACAAACACAAGAGAAACAAAAAAAACCAACAACTCCCCTTAAAAGTTGATTCAACGTTCAATCATTAAACTGGGTTTTTTTTTTTTTTTTTTTTTTGACATGGATGATGGATCGATGAACATAAAAACCTTTCCGCCTCTTTTTTATTACAATCACCACCGAACAGAAAATTCTTATTTTCTTTGGAGACTAATTAAAAGAAACACTGCTACAAAACATTACGGACTTTTGTTGTTATTTTCAAGAATATTGTAGGTGCTTGCAAATATGCATGCACATTTGTGATGTTTTGATTGAAACGGATAAAAAAAGTTAATAGATTCTTCTAATTTTTAAGTTCTAATTTGATTATTTGATATTAACCCAATATATACACACGAGCAAAGATGTCAGAGTAGCCATTAAGGTCATCCACGTTCAATAGAATAAATTTAAATATAATATAGAGGAGAGAGAAGCATTCAATAGTTGAATAAAATATTTAGTGAAAAATGATGAATTTTTTTAATAATCTACTATAATAAATGAAAATAATTTTACCTATTAATTTTTTAATGAGTTTTGACATTTATGATGTGATATTTTTTAAATAAATAATATCCATATATCAATTTATGATTTTTTTTAATTTTTAAAATTAAAAAACCACATAATACTTTTATATATATATATATATATATATATATATATATATAATATATAAACTATCGAATGTAATAAATATTATACTAAATTGCAATTAATATGTTTCTTATTTCAAAATTTCATTCTTTATATCAAAATTCTATTTTTAAAAATACTTATTATTTACATTTTAATATTTTATTTGTTTTAATTGATCCTTGTAATACATGGGTTTTACACCTAGTTTAATTGAATATATATATAGTCTCTTTCCTACTTGTTATTCTATTCAAATTCTCCATGGGTTTAATGCATTGGATTGGAGATAACCAATTGAAAAACTTTATACACAAATACAAAGTCTACAGCCGGCTTAATTAGAAGGATAAATCTTGTTAAAAATACGCTCGACTAATTAAGCTCTTGTCTCATCTCAGTTTCTCCATCCCTATATATAAGGCATCTTCTGCTATTTTTACTTGATTAAAAAGTATATGTAAATTGGAAGCGATACATCAATGGACTCCATCACTATGGATGATCATGAAGATGAAGCTGATCATCAAGAGCAAGATCACGTGGTGTCAGGAGAGAGATTGAGATTGTACGAATGCATATTCTGCAAGCGCGGGTTCACCACAGCACAGGCTTTGGGTGGACACATGAACATCCACAGGAGAGACAGAGCTGCTAAGGGTAGCCCTAATAATGATCTTAGTAATAATAGTAGTATCACAAGTAAGCTACATCGAGACCCTAGTTGCTATGTAGTCCCTAGATTCTATCAGCCGGTTTTCTCAACTCCTAGTGATCCAGAGGGACTGCAGATTCCATATTTTTCATCCACATCATCAAGTACTCACGTGCGACCTATAAACCACGGAAACAATCATCAAGATGTTCATGGAGTGATCGCAAGTCCATCAAGCTTACGCCTTCAGTTTGGCTACAGGTCACATGATCAAAATCCAAAAAGGACCATTAATGGAGGTGGAAATGAAGAAGACGAACTGGATTTGGAGCTTCGGCTTGGCCACGATCCATGAAAATGAAAGCCTTCTTAACTAATATATTAGTTTCATGTGGACTGGCCATCTATTGTTCGAAGTGATGGCCCTCCAAATGTCTTTTTGGTAAAATTTTGGCAAATTAGGAAGCTTTGAATTCCTTAAGGTATAATTAATTTGATGTTTTTGAGGTAGAAATCTTCGTTGTTTTCCATCTTAGTTTAGGGTTGATACGAGTCACAAGATACAATCATTTTTATGTTTTGCATTAATCATATTCTGTAAATGAATAAGCTCTTTTCAGTTTTTGCAATTAGTTGCAACTTATATTATGCTAATTAAATACGCTGCTAAGAGATAGTGTTAAATACACACTAATGATAGTGTTGAGCTAATTCACATGTTAATTAATTAATGTGATTTTCAATACAAAATAGATACTATTATTAGTATTATGTTAAATGACTGACTAATACAAAAGTAAAGAATATATAAATGAAGCAAAGACTAGCAAATAGCTAGAAGGTTATCTTAAAAACACAATAATAACGTAAAATACATTATTTCGTACGTGTGCATTTCACCTAATTGTAAACCTAATCATAATCTACCAAATGCTAGAAAACAATGTGAAATTAACAAATTCATCATTTCCTTTGTCTTAAGTGATATAAATTAAGAATTTGGCATCGAGCTTTTAGAATTTGTACTTTAACTTCCATAAAAATTTCAAATTAAAAAAAAATTTATAATATGTTGAAGAAAATCATGAATTAGCTGTGATGTTTTTATCCTCTTATTTCTTAACGTTTTCTTAGCTTATATTTGATAATTCAAATTGATGTATATATAGATCTTTAAACGATTGGAATGAACGGAGAGAGAAGGAAACCTGATTGGTTCCTATTGAATGTTTACTTTTGTTTTCTTTATGGTATCAGAGTCATCTCTCTAATCGGCTGAGTTCATCATTCAAGTGTCAACATGGCCGAACCTGATGACGTTGGAGGCAACGACAATGATAAAGCCAAAAACCCTTCATCCGATCGTGATTCTCCTTAACATGTTCATCTAATTGATTATCCTCGTCAGATGCACGTGAATGACATTTTGAATGACAATAACTATGCGGATTGGTCAAGAGAGATGAACGATTTTCTCATTGCCAAAAATAAGGTTGGTTTCATCGATGGAACCATCCCAATAGTGGTGGTTTTGTATAGGTGACCATAGTGGCACCGACAACACCTATCATGTCTGTTCACAGTGCAAAATTTTTGATTTTTCCCCCTATTTTCTACTATAAAATGTGCCACCGACAACACCTACTACGAAATCATGTGTTCGTCCCTGCATCCCAAAACCTACAGAAGATCATCTAGAATATAGAGCATGGCTATGCAGTGATGCAATCGTAAAAGGGTCGATCACTACTATCATGGAAAAGGAGATTAGAGACAGTGTAAAGTATGCAACAATAGCTAAGCAGATTTGGGATGATCTCCAAGAAAGATTCAGAAAAGAAAGCGCTTTGAGGGCGTATGAATTGAAGCAAATCCTAACCAATATGCGACAAGAAAAGCACTCTATCTCTTCCTACTTCTCCGACACACTAGAAACTAGGGGAAATGGCTAATAATTAAAGAATATCGAGAGAGAATAGTGTGGAGGGGTGAGGAATGATCAGGAGCCTAGCATGTATTTATAGGGCAAATTCTCCAATGTGCATCATACACTTCGATCCACCCGTTGGCCGACAAGTGTCCAGTTTTGGCTGGAGCCACGTCGCCCCCTTCTCGAAGGTACGCGCGTCGCGCACATGTGTGTGGCGAATTTTCATA